ATACAAAAATTAGTTGGACGTGGTGGCACAAGCCTGTTGTCCCAGCTACTCAGGAGGCTGAAGCAGGAAAATCACAGTGAGCCGAGATGAAGCCACTGCACTTCAGCCTGGGCGACAGAGCGAGAGTCTGTCTCATAAAAACAAACATCTCATCTCACTGCAACCTCTTTCTCCTGGGTTCAAGCAATTCTCCTGCCTCAGCCTCCCGAGTAGCTGGGAGCCACCATGTCCAGCTAATTTTTGTAGTTTTAGTAGAGATGGGGTTTCACTGTGTTAGCCAGGCTGGTCTCAAAGCCATTTAATTATCTTACAGAAAGAAAAATCTCACAAAAAAGTATATCCCTGAGAAGCTCCATAGATGTGAACTATTTTAGGAAGTAGTAGAGGAGGGCCTTGGTTAAGAACAGATGAGATAAGGGAAAAAAGACTTCTTCAAATAGAAAGGTGAAGATAATAAGGAGATAATGATGAAGACATATGGACTTTGAAAATAGCCATCTTGGCTTTAAATAGATCCTCCACTACTGGATGTGCAACTTTAGGCAACTTCTTTAAGCCACAATTTTCTCATGAGTAAAATAAAAATTATACTAGTAGGTATTGCATAGACCTATTACAATAATTAAATTAAATATATAAAAAGCATTTAGTATTACTGCCTGGAACATGGTCTGATAAATGCTGCTGCTGCTGCAGCTGCAGTTTCAGTTGTTGTTAAATGTGCCCTGCAGATCCTCCAAAAGGGCTTCATCCATTGACCTTTATCTCAGAACCATGATTAGCCTCCTATCAGTAGCTCTTTTCAGACTAAGAACAGGTCAGAAGTTGCCTACTAAACCGTCAATTAAAAAAATAGAGTTCTTCTTTCTTAGCTTCTCAAGACCACCCTTATTTCAGGTTCGAACATGTGCACACAAGGCAGCAACACCCTCACAATTCTTGTACCAATCTATACTGGGCTCCATCAGAAGAACTAAAATGGAACTTGCTAGTGATCATTTGAGCAAGCCAGGGCCAAATTCAGGAGATAAAGGCCCTAAATAACATTCCAGTGTGTAGTTAAACCATCTACCCCATTTGGGTAGCTGAGGCATTTTCTTGGTTGCACTATTACTACTGAGGGCCACGGCCAGGCATGGTGGTTCATGCCTATTGTAATCCCAGCACTCTGGGAGGATGAAACAGGTGAATTACCTGAGGTCAGGAGTTCGAGACCAGCCTGACCAATATAGTGAAACCCCATCTCTATTAAAAATACAAAATTAGCCAAGCGTGGTGGTACATGCCTGTAATTCCAGCTACTCAGGAGGCTGAGGTAAGAGAATCACTTGGACCCCGGAGGTATAAGGTGCCATTGCACTCCAGCCTGGGCAAAGAGAGCAAAACTCCATCTCAAAAAAACAAAAAACAAAAAAACAAACAAAGAAAACCCCAAACCACCAGGCAAGGTGGTTCACATCTAGAATTTCAGCACTGTGGGAAGCTGAGGTAGGAGAATCGCTTGATCCCGGGAGTTTGAGACCAGCATGGGCAACATAGTGAGACTCCATCTCTACAAATAACAAACAAAAAACAATACTGAGAAAAAGATTGCCATAATCTCCAGTAGTCTCTACAGCTTTCCTCTTCGCCTTCTTTTTAGGGTCTCACCCCGCTGCCCAGGCTGGAGTGTAATGGTTTGATCACAGCAGCTCACTGCAGTCTCAACTTCCAAGGCTTAAGAGATCCACCTACCTCAGCCTCCCAAGTAGCTGGGAACACAAGCACCTGCCACTATGCTTGGCTAATTTTTTCTATTTTCTTTTTTTTTTTTTTTAAAGACAGCGTCTCATTATGTTGACCAGGCTGTTGACCAGGCTGGTCTCAAACTCCCAGGCTCAAGTGATCCTCACACCTCAGATTCCCGGAAGTGTAGGGATTACAGGCATGAGCCACCCCACCTAGCCCCTCTTCCCCTTCTTATTGAATAAGTGGCATAATCCAACAGCACAAAGATAAAACTGGTCAGTAGGTGACAAATCAGTAATAATCCTATAATTTTCTAAGGAACTGGAGAGAAAGCACTTAATCTCCACTTTAACGAGGCATTTGGCTAATGATTTCTCTGAGAAGGAACCTCTGGGAGAAAAAATTGGGAGGGACAGCTTCTAACAGGGGGAAATGCCTACAGGGTAAATACTTCAGCTGTCGATCTTTAAAAAGATCTGGGAGATCTCTCCCAATCTGCTCCTACCCTTCCCTCTATGAAAAGTAGACCTTAATTTTGCAAAGGAAGCTTTCCTGGCTTCTATTATGATTTTCTAGCACCTTCAAAATACCTAGACATTAGTTGTGGTCACTTAAGCTTTCTTGGCCTCAGATGAGATTATTAAAATGTCAGAATTGTATTCTCTCTTCTAAATTCCAATCTTTTTTTTTTTTGAGACAGGGTCTTGCTTAGTTACCTAGGCTGGAGTACAGTGCTGTGATCTCAGCTCACTACAACTTCTGCCTCCCAGGCTCAAGTGATCTTTCCATCCCGGTCTCTTGAGGAGCTGGAACTACAGGTGCATGCCAACATACCTGGCTAATTAAAAAAAATTTTTTTTTGTAGAGACAGGGTCTTACTATGTTATCAGCTGGTCTCAACCTCCTGAGCTCAAGCAATTCTCTGGCTTCAGTCTCCCAAAGTGCTAGAATTACAGGCTTAAGCCACCACACCCAGCTCTGATTTTGTCTAAATACAAACTGGTATGACTTATCAAGAGCAGCAATCCTTAACAGCACTACTATTAACTTGAGCTTTATTATCTGTATCCATTAAAATGAGAACCTCTACATTCAGATAGGCATTTTCACTGCCAAGTGGGAACCTCTTCAAAATGCTAGGACTTAGATAAAAGCAGCACCTAAACCCAATGGCTATGGACTGACATCATGCTTAGAGTCCAAGCATGATAGGTGTGGAAAAAAAAAACAAACCCACAATTTTTTAATGAATGTATGTAGAGACAGAGTCTTACTATGTTGCCTAGGCTGGTCTCAAACTCCTGGCCTCAAGAGATCCTCTTGCCTCAGCCTCCCAAAGTGCTGAGACTACAGGCATATGCCACTATACCTGGCTGAAAAATTGCCATTTTTGAGCCCCAGAGAAACATGCGTATTACAAATATAATACACCCAGCCTCTCACAATCATGTAAAATGAGAGAGAGAGAGAGAGCGCAAGAAATAAATCAAGTTAAACTGCAAGAATGGAGGGAGAGAGCTGTGTATAACAAAAATAACATTTTCGCATTTCTAACAAGTACATATGACAGAAAACATATGCTTCTAAACGTTATTGCTTCTGATTCCACCAGTCTAAAGAGAAACTTCCAGTAAAGTTTCACAGTGATGGCAACAGACTCAATGCAGAAATATCTGTTCTTCCTCAAATTAAGGTTTTGCCTACCTGTAAATCAAATAATTTAGTTTCTCTTCTACTACAGAAAGAAGAAACAGGGAGTCCCATTCCAAGAAGTTCTCATTTCGTTAGAGTCCCTGAATTAATAATGGTTCAATTTATAATTTTGACTTTATCATAGTGCGAAAGCAATATACATGGAGTAGAAAACATACTTCTCACTCATGCCTGTGATCCCAGCAGTTTGGGAGGCTGAGGTGGGAGGACTACTTGAGGTCAAGAGTTTGAGACTGAGACCAGTCTGGGCAAGATAGCGAGCCACTTTCTTTATAAAACCCGAAAACTTAGCCAGGTGTGGTGGCATGTGCCTATAGTCTTAATTACTTGGGAGACTGAGGCAGGAGGATCACTTGAGTCCAGGAGTTGGATGGTGTAGTAAGCCATGGCTGTGCCACTGTACTCCAGCCTGGGTGACACAGCAAGACCCCATCTCTGAAACAGGACACTGGGACCAGTGCAGTGGCTCTCACATATAATTCCAGCACTTTGGAAGGCCAAGGCTGGCTTGAGTCCAGGAGATTGAGACCAGCTTGGGCAACATGGCAAAACGTCATCTTTACAAAAAATACTAAAGAAATTAAGCCGGGCGTGGGGTTCATGCCTGTAATCTCAGCACTTTGGGAGCCTGAGGTGGGTGAATCACTTGAGGTTGCGAGTTTGAGACCAGCGTAGCCAACATGGTGAAACCTTGTCTCTACTAAAAATATAAAAATTAGCCAGGCATGGTGGCACACACCATTAATCCCCGCTACTCAGGACACTGAGGCAAGAGAACCACTTGAACCCAGGAGGCGGAGGTTGCAGTGAGCCAAGATCATGCCACTGTACTCCAGCCTGGGCAATACAGAGTAAGACTCCATATCAAAAACAAAAAAAGAAAAGAAAAAAAGAAATTAGCTGGGTGTGGTGGTATATGCCTGTTTCCCAGCTACCTGGGAGGTTGAGGTGGAAGGAGCTCATTGAGCCTGGGTGGTCGAGGCTACAGTGAACTGTGATTGAGAGCCACTGCACTCCAGCCTAGACAACAGAGCAAGATTTCGTCTCAAAAAAAAAAAAAAAAAAAAAAAAAAAAAGGCTATTTCTGGAAAAGAAAAAGAAAACACACACGCACACACCCCAAAACATTGTACAACTGAACAAAATTATTTCTTTTTTTTTTTGAGACTAGGTCTCACTCTGTCACCCAGGCTGCAGTGGAGTGCAGTGGCATGATCATGGCTCACTGCCCACAGCCTTGACCGCCTGGGCTCAAGTGATCCTCCCTCAGCAATCTTCCTATCTCAGCCTCCTGAGTAGCCAGGACTACAGGCACATGCCAACATGCCTGACTAAGTTTTACATTTTTTGTAGAGAGGGTCTCATTATGTTGCCCCAGGCTCATCTCAAACTCCTGGGCTCAAGAGATCCTTGGACTTTGGCCTCCCAAATTGCTGGCATTACAAGTGTGAGCCATTGGCCATTATTTCTTTTTTTTTTTTAATTTATTTTTTAGAGACAAGATCTTGCTCTGTCACCCAGGCTAAAGTGCAGTGGTGGAATCATAGCTCACTGCAGCCTTTAATTCCTGGGCTTAAGTGATCCTCCTGCTTCAGCCTCCTGAGTAGCCAGGACAACAGACAGGTGTCAGGACCCTGGGTCCATAGACTCTCAGGTGTAATTTTCCTTTGTAGCACTTATCTCACGCTAAAGAGCCTTTTTTTTTTTTTTTTTTTTTGAGATGGAGTCTTACTCATGTCACCCAGGCTGGAGTGCAATGGCACAATCTTGGCT